CTTTGTCTACTTTGCTTTGATAAGAATGACTATGATTTGTTGAAGTTTGTTTTCTACTCTTGGAAAAAATCCTGGGGACTTCCAGGTTAAGACTCCAATGGTTAAGACTCCATGTTTCCAATGCAAGGGGCACAGGTTCAATCACTGGTTAGGGAAATAAAGCTCTCACATACCTGCCATGCAGAAAAAAAAAAAAAAAAACTTGCTTTGAGGGAACTGTGTGTTTGCATTGGATCTCAGGATCTGCAGGACTTGGTCATTATTATCCCAGTGTTAAAAGGAAAATGGTGACTGGTACAAGTTTCAAAATACAATATTTTTCTGTGAGTACAAAAGGGCCCTTTTTTACTTTTGGTAGAACATATCTTCTGGTGTCTATTGCAAAATGCTCACACAAGCGCTCCCCTCAGTCTTTCCTACACACAAAAAAATTCTACTGATCCGGGTGGCAAAGAGTGGGACATGACTGAGCATGCATGCATCCACCCCAGCCATAATCAATTATTATCATTATTTCATCAATAACTGAAGTAGCCAATAAGTATACAACCTTATATTGGTAACCTAAAGATTAGAAACCATCTTCCAACAAGACAGATCCCTTTGCAACCGCCTCTCCTGAGAGGCACATATACCTTAGGGACAATGTGTAATTCATCTACGGAATTCCCGACATAAACAAAAAGGCTGTGTGTTTTAACAAGTGATAATGGCTTGTCCACATGGAGGGACTTTCAGGCACATAAGATCCTAGAGGACTTTAAAATTCAAAGTTACTGTACTTTTTACAACGAAAAAATGGTGTAGTGATCTGCCACATTTTCACATGGTTCTTCATTCTTTTGATAGGCTGCCCCTAGGGATTCTAGGTATAAATGATTAACACATTTCAATGAGCTAGTTTTCACAGATGATGGAAAGAGAGGAGGAGGAGAAGATATACTTGTAAGTATCCATCTTTTATAATTTGCCTTATTCTCTAAAGGGTTTAAAGTGACTCAGTGAATGTCTGTATCTCATCATACTGTTTTGCACTCTGATCTACAGGTCAGATTTCTGGTGACTGTAGGTTTCATGTATACCAATGGTGAGGCAACCTGTCCTAAGTCAACAGGGCTCAAAGTGACACTGTGATCTTACACATGACACATTTTAAAAGAGTGATACATTTGTTTTAAAAAAAAATGCCCCCCAAAACTGAAGAGAATTAAAAGTGACAATATATCTCTAGAGGGAATTTTTTAAATTTTTAAGGGAGAAATGGAAAAGGAAAGGATACAAAAATTTCATTCATTCATTCAGCACATTTTTGAAGCACTGTACTTGGGGCTGGGGGCATCAGTGAATAAGACAGTCCTTTCTTTCATGGAACTTACATTCCAGAAGGTAATTACAAACTCTCTGATCTGATGATATAAACATTTTACATTTTAAACTTGTGTAAATATGAAAACACAAAAGTAAAAGCCAAAATTCCTGAAAAACTTCAGCAAATACAAGCATTACTATTTCTTCACTCTGGAGTATATACAAAGCAACAAAAGAAGAATGTTAGGAACTTCCCTGGTGGTCCAGTGATTAGGAATCTGCCTGCCAATTCAGGAGACACAGGTTCGATCCCTGGTCCAGGAAGAGTCCACGTGCCACAAGGCAACTAATCCCTTTCACACAACTACTGAGCCTGCACTCTATAGCCTATACACTCCAACAAGAGAAGCCACAGCAATGAGAAGCTCACACACCACAACTAGAGAGTAGCTCCTGTTCCCCGCAACTAGAGAAAGCTCACACACAGCAATGAAGACCCAGCACAGCCAAAAATAAATAAATAAAATTTTAAAAAAAGATTCTGCCTTCCAGTGCAAGGGGTGTGATCCCGGGTCATGGATCCCACATGCCAAAAAAAAATCCCGAGACATAAAACAGAAGCAATATTGTAACAAATTCAATAAAGACTTAAAAAATGGTCCACACCAAAAAAAATTTAAAAAAAATGTTACAACTCCACCCACTAGATAACTAGGTGAAGAATGTGACCAGAAAGTGTGTAAGAAAAGCCACAAGAAACTAGCTAACAAATAATGAGAATGTGTAGCCTCAGATCCTATGGATTAAATTAAAATATCATTCTTTCACTATCAAATTAACAATGCTAAACAAGATTAATACAGATTTCCTGAAATGGTCACTATTTTAACTGCTGGTAGAGATGTAAATTAATGTAATACTAAGGCTCAAGGCATTGATTTCCAGAACATCTGGAATGATATTCTCCTAGCAAGCATCATTTCTTCATACCGAGTGCCAAAATCTCCCACTATGGGGATCAAAGTAGTTTGCTCCCTGCCGTTTACAAGTTTGTGGATCTAAACTAAACCCGCAAGTCTGCTCTGGGAATGCATGTTTAGGACAGACATAAATCATGGCCCTGGGCTAATTCTATATCTTGGAACCTTTTCCATTCATGGTGAAGGATAGGATGTTCCAAGCTGTGAATCACTTTTATTTGTAAAATGGGATGGATGAGGTGACATCAATGAAAATGGCAGAATAAGGATCTCCAAAAACCTTCTCCATAAAAAGCAATGAGAACAAAGGCAAAAGTTGTCAGAATCAACAGCTTTGTGCTACTTCACATACCAGGCTGCTTACCCTTCAGGATGCCTAACCTGGACTAAAACCCATTTAATTTTAACTGAGTCTGTTTAGTAATAGTAAACAAACCATTATTAAACTCATGGCATTCATTGAAAGTATGCATTTCAAAGGAAATATAATATCACCCAGTGTGTGAGGGTAGGGGAACTGTCTTGACCGCTTACTGCCAAAGCCAATGGAACACATGCATTTATTATCACTCCTTCCTTGTCAAATAAAAAGGCATAACTATCTCTTCTACCCAGGCACACACACCTATATACACACACACATACAATCAAGAGAAGAGATAACAGCCAACAGAGATCATGTATTTTGAGAGAATGTGAAGCAGTTTGGAGGAATGGTTCTTGACATGGCAGGGTGGAGGAAGCTGAAGCCTGGTGCTTCAGGGCCTGCTGGATGAGAAGTGGGCTGCTTTCCTCCACAGAATCCAAGAAAAGCTCAGGAATTTCAGGCCTTAGGCATCAGTGAGGTGGAGGTGAGGGTGAGGCCCACAGAATCCAAGAAAAGCTCAGGAATTTCAGGCCTTAGGCATCAGTGAAGTGCTGGAGGGTTGACTGAGCTCTTTTCTCTAGGTCCCTACCTACCTACTTTCATCAGTCAGGTACTGCCCTTTCCTCATCCCTGTAGGAGATGAAAGGTTTCATTTCTAAAGAGATTGAGCCATAGATGTGGATCCAGGATCCCAGGTGATGGGAAGACAGGGACCTTTACTGAAAACAGGAATTGAGAGGACTTCCAGACATACAGACAGCCAACAGGCATGTGAAAAGATGCTAAGCATCTCTAGTTTAAATTAGAGAAATCCAAATCAAAAGTGCAACAAGGTATCACCTCACACTGGTCAGAAAGACCATCACCAAAAAGTCTACAAATAATAAATGCTAGAGAGGGTGTGGAGAAAAGAGAAGCCTCCTACAGTGCTGGGGGAAATGTAAATTGGTACAGGCACTATGGAGAACAGTATGGAGGTTCCTTCAAAAACTAAAAATACTCCACAGAAGACATACAGATGTCTAATAAACACATGAAAAAATGCTCAACATCATTCATTACACAATCCAGTTCAGTCGCTCAGTCGTGTCCAACTCTTTGCTACCCCATAGACTGCAGCACGCTAGGCTTCCCTGTCCATCACCAACTCCTGAAGCTTGCTCAGACTCAAGTCCATTGACATGATGATGTCATCCAGCATCCCGTGGATGACATGGTGATGCCATCCAACCACCTCATTATTAGAGAAATGGAAATCAAAACTATAATGAGGTGTCACCTCACACCAATCAGGATGGCCATCATCAAAAAATCTATAAACAATTAATACTGGAGAGGATATGGAAAAAAGGAAACACTCTTCCATTGATGGTGGGAAAATAAATTGATACAGCCACTATGGAGCATAGTATGGACAGTCCTTTAAAAACTAGGAATACAGCTATCGTATGACCCAACAATCCCACTACGGGGCACATACCCTCAAGAAACCACAATTGAAAAACACACATGTGTGCCAAAGCTCATCGCTGCACTATTTACAATAACTAGGACATGGAAGCAACCTAGATGTCCACTGACAGATGAATGGATAAAGAAGCTGTGGTGCATACATACAATTACTCAGCCATAAAAAGGAATACATCTGAGTCAGTTATAACAAGGGAGATGAACCTAGAGGCTATTATACAGAGTGAAGTCAGTCAGAAAGAGAAAAACAAACATTGTATATTAACACATACATATGGAATCTAGAAAGATGGTAATGATGAACTCCTCTGCAGGGCAGCAGTGGAGATGTAGACATAGAGAACAGACTTGTGGACACAGTAGGGGAAGGAGAGGGTGGGATAAATTGAGAGAGCAGCACTGAAACATATACATTACCACATGCAAAATTAGACAGCCAGTGGAAATTCTGCTGTATGATGCAGAGAGCTCAAATCAGGTGCTCTGTGATGGTTATGATGGGTGGGAGGTGGGAGAGTGGTTCAAGAGGGAGTGGACATATATATATCTATGGCTGATTCATGCTAATACATGGCAGAAACCCACACAACATGGTAGAGCAACTATCCTCCAATTAAGAATAGATAAATTTTTAAAAAAATGCCTAGCAGAATGCTTGGCAAACAGTAAATCAGCAAATTTTTAGGATATATATTTTGAAAAAGGCATTTTCAGTATTTAAATAGACACATGGGAAAACATGGGACAATAACTCTAATGTATACTTTGATAACAATTTGCAAATTCATTATATCTCATTCTTTAAATCACTGAGCAATTATTTAGCAATAAAGTCACATCTTACTTAAAGAAAAAAAAACCTAAAATAGTGTTACCATATGATCTAGCAACCCCATTCCTTGGCATTTACCTGGAAAAGATGAAAACTCTAATTTGAAAGGATACACACACACCCCAATTTTCATAGCAGCAGTATTGACAATAGCCAAACATGGAAACAACTCAAGTGCCCATCAACAGAAACTGTATAAAGTAGATATGGTAGATATACAATAGAGTATTATTTAGCCATTAAAAAATGAAATACTGCCATTCGCAGCAACATGGATGGACCTAGAGATTATCATACTAAGTGAAGTAAGTTAGAGAAAGACAAATACATATGATATGTATTTAGATTCTTACATGTAGAATCTAAAAAATGTAATACAAGTGAATCTATATACAAAACAAAAACACAGAAAACAAACAGACAGTTATCAAAAGGGGAGACGGGGAGGGTAAATTAGACATTTACCCACAGGATTAATAGATATAAACTACTAATACTACACATAAAACATATAAGCAACAGGATTTACTGTATAGCCAGGGACTATATTCAATATCTTATAATAACCCATAATGGAGAATAGTCTGAAAAAATACATATATAAAATGGAATCACTTTGCTATATACCTAAAACTAACACAATATTGTAAATCAAATGAAGTGAAAGCTGCATCTGACTCTTAGCAACTCCATGGACTGTAGCCAGGCTCCTTGTCCATGGAATTCTCCAGGCCAGAATACTGGAGTGGGTACCTTTTGAATTTGCCTACTAACTTTGTTTACAGTTTGTTTCCTAGTGTACAAAAAATTCAAAATGCTGTGTAATCAAACCTGAGGCTTCTTTTCCTTTGCAATCCACCCATTTCTGTTGTCTCAGAACATCTGCCTTATCCTAAAATTAAATGTGTGTGTGTGTGTGTGTGTGTGTGTGTGTGTGTTAAGTCATTTTAGTCATATCCAACTCTTTGCGACCCTGTGGACTGTAGCCCACTGTCCATGGGATTCTCCAGGCAAGAATACTGGAGTGGGTTGCCATGTCCTCCTCCAGAGGATCTTCCTGACCCAGGGATCAAACCCACATCTCTTACGCCTCCTGTATTGGCAAGCAAGTTCTTTACCACTAGCACCACCTGGAAGCCCAAAATTAAATATATGCTAATATATTTTCTTCTAGTTTTATAGCTCAAAAGTATTTAATTCTTTAATCAATATGGAATTTACTATATGTGGTAGGAAGAGTCTCATTATTAATCATCTAGCATAAAATATCTCTCTTTCCTACTGATTTGTCATAGCTTCTTTATCAAATATAGAGATCTTATGTATTCTGGAGTCTGTTTTTGAGCTCAGTTCAGTTATCTCAGCTCCTCTTTCAGATGTTCACTGTATGTCTCCCCCCTTGCACTGCTAAGTTTCTAGTTACAAATAAATAACTATAGTCCATCAAAACACCCTAAAATAACTTCATAGTTTCTTATTCTCCCCTTTTTATTTTTTGGCATCCTACTGATTACTTATCTAAAATAGTTAATTTTCATCAAACACATGTACACGTATTTGAAAATTTAGAAACAGGAAAGCATTTTTACATTTTTTAAAAGAAAGAAACTAGGAATACTTTTCTTTCTTGTTAATAATACAATGATCTATTGAATATCTCTGATGATTTTAATAATTAACTAATTCAACAAATACTATGCACTCTGTGTGAGCCATTTTCCTAGATGCTCAGTATACAAGACAAGAACAGACAAAAATCCCCACCTCTGTGAAGTTTACGTTCTATGGGGAGACAGATGAAAACACCGTTAAGAGTAAATTTTTAGATGAAGTGTATCAGATGGTTATGAGCACTATGAAGAAAAATAAACCAAGAAAGGGGGATAGGGAATTCTGAGCAAGTGACTAGGGATGACCTCAATAAGAAGGTCGTGTGAATCAAGAGCTAAAAAAAGTAAAAGAGCCTTTACTTTTCTTCTATAACTTTACAAATGTGTTACTTACATTGCCATCCCCAGTGTATCTTCAGATATATTTTAAGTATATCTTGAATCACACATTAATCATTCATTGCCTTTCTACTATGATGAGTGAAATGTTAACCTTGACATCTCAAAAGGAATCACTGCATATTTTAAATATCAAATTCATCATGAGTTTATGGTCTATCAATATACTTACAGGAATGAAGCAGCCTGTTGGAAACCTTTGAACTGTAGAACGAAATACAAAGCTCCTATATTTAAAAAAAAAAAGATACGATTTTCCAAACATATTTTTAAATGTGAGGATCTTAAACATATTCTTATTAAATATTTTAAAATGCTAATCTGAATATAATGGGCATAAATGAGGTTTAAAAGTCATTAGTGTTGGCTGTTAAGTATGTAAATAGAAAGGCATGAGTGAATTAGTAAAAGCAACTTAATAAGTACTTAATTACCTGGAAGCTTGCTTGGGAACTGGTGGAGGAAGTAGCTCGTATTGCCCTGGTGAAAGCTTAACTGACTACACAGAACAGACAAGGATACCAATAAAAGATTAACATAGATCTCAAACTCACTTTATTATCTATCATTCATATAATTTATTTTATGACCATACCAACATTATATCACTTATTTTCTATTTTAAGAATGGAAAAGATATATTACCAAAGGTAGAGCTTCAAAACACTCAACAGATAGTCACTTTTCATGGTGAATTTAATGACAGTACACCTGCAGTGGTATGTAGAAAAATGTTGTACAATTGATCACATTTTAAGTGTACTTGATTCAACAAATCCAATCGACCACAAAATAGTGAGCCTGCTCTGTTGGTAAAGAACTACTAGGAGTGGTGGGAAATATAGGTCATGTTCTCATAATCCATAAACAATTCTAACATAAAACACTATAACCAATACTAAAAGTTAAAGACTGGACATCTGGGGGATAGAGAGAGATTAACCCAACTGGGTGACACATAGCTAACATCACATACTCAGTGGTGAAAAGCTAAAAAGCTGTTCCTCTAAGTCCAGGAACAGAATAGGGGTGCCTATGCCTCCATTCCTATTCAACATAGTACTGGAACTCCTAGCAAGTAATTCTGCAAGAAAAAGAAATAAAAGGTATCCAAATTGCAAAGGAAGTAGTAAAATTGTCCCTGTTTGCAGATGACATGATCTTACATACAAAATACTCTGAAGAACTCCGGGCTTCACAGGTGACTCAGTGGTAAAGAATCTGCCTGCCAACACAGGACATGCAGGTTTGAGCCCTGGGTTGGGAAGATCCCTTGGAGAAGGAAATGGCAACCCACTCCAGTATTCTTGCTTCGGAAATCATGTGGGCAGAGGAGACGGGTGAGCCACAGTCCATGGACTCACAAAAGAGTGGGATACAACTTAGCGACTAAACAACAAAGAACTCCACCAAAAAACTGTCTGACCTAATGACAAAATCAGTAAAGCTGCAGGATACAAAAACAACACAAAAATCAGTTGAGCTTATACACTAATAATGAACTATCTAAAAAAAAAAAATGAAGAAAACAAGCTCATTTACAATAGCATCAAAAATATAACGTAGTTAGGAATAAATCTGACTAAGGAGATGGAAGCTCTGTACGCTGGAAAGTATAAGACACTGATGAAAGAAGTTGAAGAAGACACAAATGAATGGAAAGATATACCATGGTTATGGATTCAAAGAATTAATACTGTTAAAATATCCAAATTATGCAAAGCAATCTACAGATTCAGTGCAATCCCTAGCATAAAACAGCATTTTTTCAAAGATACAGAAGAAACAACTCTAAAATCAATATAGAACCACAGAAGGTCCCAGATAATCAAAGCAATCTTGAGAAAGAAGAACAAAGCTGAAGGCATCACACATTCTGATTTCAAACTATACTGCAGAGCTACAGTAATCAAAACAGTATGATACTAGCATAAAAACAGACACATAAACTAAAGGAACAAAATACAGAGCCCAGAAATAAATCCAGACAGAAATGGCCAACTAATCTTTGACAAGGGCACCAAGAATATGCAATAAGGAAGCTATAGTCTCTTCAATAAATGGTATCTGGGAAACTGGAGATCCACATGCAAAAAACAAAATTAGACCCTCCAAAATTACTGAATGCTTAAATGTAACATATGAAACCATAAAACCTCTAGAAGAAAACGTGTGGGAAAAGCTCCTTGACACTGGTCTTGGCAAAGATTTTTTAGACATGACACCAAAAGCGCAGACAAAAAAAGCAAAAATAAACAAGTGGGACAACAAAGTAGAGCCAAGGAAACAATCAACAAAATGCAAAGGTGACCTAAGTAATGGGAGAAAACATTTGCAAACCATTTATCTCATAAAGTGTTAATATCCAAAATACATAAGGAGCTCATACAACCCAACAGAAAAAAGACAAATAATCCAATTTTTAAATGGACAAATGACCTGAATAGGCATTTTTCCATAGAAGACATACAAATGACCAAGTATAAGAAAAGGTGCTCAAAATCACTAATCATAAGGGAAATGAAAATCAAAACCACAATGAGCTATTACCTCATACCAGTGAGAATGGCTATTATCAAAAAAACAATAGATAACAAGTGTTGGTGAAGATGTGAAGAAAAGGGAACTCTGTGCACTTTGGTAAACAGATGGGGAAAGTGGAAAACAGCAGCTAACTTTATTTTTTGGGGCTCCAAAATCACTGCAGATGGTGACTACAGCCATGAAATTAAAAGACACTTACTCCTTGGAAAGAAAGTTATGACCAACCTAGACAGCATATTAAAAAGCAGAGACATTACTTTGTCAACAAAGGTCCATCTAGTCAATGCTATGGTTTTTCCAGTAGTCAAGTATGGATGTGAGAGCTGGACTATAAAGAAAGTTGAGCTCTGAAGAATTGATGCTTTTGAACTATGGTGTTGGAGAAGACTCTTGAGAGTCCCTTGGACTGCAAGGAGATCCAACCAGTCCATCCTAAAGNTGTAACACTTCCATGTGGAATATGAAAGGGTTGTACTCATAGAAACAGAGGGTAAAATGGTGGTTCCAGGAGGTGACAGATGGGGGAAATGGGGAGATGTTGGTCAAAAGGTACAAACTTTATTATAAGATAAATAAGTTCTGGAAATATAATGCACAGCATAGTGACCATAGTTAATAATACTGTATTGTACACTTGAGAATTGCTAGGAGAGTAGATCTTATGTGTTCTTATCTCACACACACACACACACACACACACACACACACAATGGTTAACTGTGTGAGGTGATTGATGTGTTAATTAACTTGACTGTGGTAATCATTTCACAATTTATACATATATCAAACCAGGTTGTACACCTTAAATATGTTCAATTTTATTTGTCAGTTATACCTCAGTAAAGCTGGGTTGGGGGGAGAAATAAATAAGTAAATCTAACTGGGTGATCTAAAGATGGTAAAGACAGCGAGATTTGAGTATGCTTTTAAGGAAGGTAAGAGTTCCTTGAGGGAGGAACGGGGGAGATTCTAAGAAGGAAGAACATTGTAGAACAGACTGTCTCTCTGCCCCGTTGTGAAACTTGTTACAAACTACCTGGATAGCTCCATTACCCCTGGGTCTGTGGATGTCAGCCCAGAGTAAGACAAGTAAGGGAGAGTTAGGAACTGGTAAGCACAGATAGTGGGCTGTGTAAAGAGAGGGATGGAGAAAACGAAAGAGAATGAGAAGCCAGGGGAAGACAGACAGGAACTTCCTGTGTTGAAGGAGTTGGCAGGGAGGAGTTGAATCCTTCTCAAAACGGACACTCTTCTTCCACCCTAAAATTAGATTTAAAAATACAATACTGCCCTTGTTGGAAACGAGACATTCATATCCTGGTGTTATCGGCCACATTAAGTTCACCTATTGTATCTGATCCTACAGCTATCTTTCACATATTAATACAGAATTTTGATGACAGAGGCATTTTCTGTGGATTCAGTGATAATAACAGTAAATACAAATTTTATGATGAAATATACACAATGTCCTAATGCACCTGTGCCTTGTTCATTGTTCACTTGACAGAATAAACACCTAGGGAACATAGGTATTTATTATTATTATTACTATTATTATTATATGCTGGAAGCATAGAAATGTATTTTAAGCAGGGGGCTTTCTTGGGGGGCACAGCATTCTACTTCTTGATTTTGATGACACAGGTGTTTGCTTTCTATTTACTTTACACTGTGAATGTATGCTTCATGCTCCTTGCTCTCTGCTCCCTCTCTCTCCCACTTAGGCACATTATATACACATACACAGGAAGAGAAGGAAGAAAGAGAACTGAAAAGTGAGGGGGGGGGGACTTTAAAGCCACTGTTTATTCATCTATACTTAGCAATTGCATAAGATTTTTTTCAATGAAGCAATCATGGAAAAACTCTTAGCCTTACTCTAAAAAGGAATACTGGTTATCCATAGCTTCTTTATTTGTCCTACTTTACTTGGCATTGGCCATTCTTTGCTATTTAATATAGCTGAGAGAGGACTGACTTTTCCAGGAAGTCTTAAATACTCAGCTGCCTTACCTAAGAGATTGCTTCTCTGTACATTGCTGAACATGTTGCAAACTATCTGGATGGCTCCCTTGTCCATCTATGTAATTCATGTTTGCATGCATGTATTTATATACAGTAAGTACATTTTGCTCTAATTCCTACATATGCTTCTTCATTCCTCACTTGTAATGTAAGGCTCAGAGAATCTAGACAATATGCCCATAAAAATAGCTGATCCTAGTTAATTGATGTTTCAATCCATGCTGATTAGCACTCATAAATCCTGCAGTAGCTTGGAGTCATAGAAAAAGACAGGAAGCTATTAGCATGGATATGTAATTCAGTTGTGTTGTACCAGCTCCAACAAGGTAAGAAAACTGGAGTACATTAAAAGATACAACCTTATTCATTAGGATGACATAGGAAAAATGCTCTAATTTCATTCTTTCACACGTAGTTGTCCAGTTTTCCCAGAATCAATACTAAAGAGACAGTCTTTTCCCCACTGTATATTCTTGCATCCTTTGTTGTAACTTAATTAACCATAAAGGCATGGGTTTATTTCTGGGCTCTCTATTCTGTCCCATTTATCTATGCCATTACTATGCTGTTTTGATCACTTTGTAGTATACTCTGAAATCAGAGAGGGTAGTAACTCTGGCTTTGTTGTTTTGCCTCAAGATTGTTTTCGCTATTCAGGGTCTTTTGTGGTTCCATATAAATTTTAGGATTATGTTCTAGTTGTGTTAAAAAAAAAAAAAAGTCATGTGTGTTTTGACAGGGATTATATGAAATCTATAGATTGTTTTGGGGAGTACAGACATTTTAACTATATTAAATCTTCTGAACAATGAACATGGGTTATCTTTCCATTTCTTTGCATCATGATGCATGGGAAAGATTCAAAATATATTTCGAAGAAAAAAGAAAAGTTCTGGTTTCTCCTAATGGCAGGCTAGGTTATTTGGA